GGGACTGGCCCCAGGGCCTGTGGGCGGTGGGACCCGCCTGAGGCCACGGCCTGAAAACCAGCGGCGGGCTGACCAGGGACCACTCACGTGTTGTTTCAACAGATTTGCTTTCATTTGTAAGGTTTGCCTCCATGACATGTCCGTGCTTATGTAACAAATGATCATTAATGGACGGTAATTAATAACACGGCTTGAGCTTTCTCTGCGAGGCTTGTGCCTCTGACAAGGGCAGCGTTTCCTCTCACCCGGGTTAGAGCCGATTCACTCCTTCTGGGGGTCGGCACGCGTGTGGGTGCCTGTCCGGGCCTGGTCCTCACTGCCCTGTCCCCCCGCAGGGCCCCACCCAGCGGCACGTGCAGCTCATCATGGAGCGGCTCCTCCGGACGGTGAACCGCACGGTCATCTCCATGGGCCGGGACTCGGAGCTCATCGTAAGTGCGGGGCGTCGCCGGGCGCCCCTGTGGCAGGGCCTCTCTCGCCCAGTGGCCTTTCCTCTGCGCTGACCGCCCGCCTGGGCCTTGCTTTTGAAACTGTCACTTGAAACTGAACTTCTTTCCCTACAAATTCGCGAGCGGGGAGGCGCTTGGGTTGCCCTGTTTTACCGTCTGGTGTGTAAAATGGGCTCGTCTCCCACCGCGTGGACACGGGAGGGTGAGCCGTCTGACATTCTAGAGACGAGCATTGGGTGCTGGTTTCCGTGACTTCCTTCCAGCAAAGGGCGGGCTTTCTTCTCCGCTCTCGTTCTCCGGGCGGTTTCTTTCCATCTGTTTACACGGAAGATGCCAGGAATGAAATTTTATACCAGGACTAACAAGTAATCGAGGTCCTGCAACTCAGCCGTTTCATTTCTACTCGCATGTACTGTAGACGCTTCTCCCATACGGGTCATCGCGGCATGGAATGGCGTCTATTTGGGGGGGATTTCTCTGAATAATATGAAACCCAGGTCACGGTGCCTGCTTCCGAGAGCTGAGCCCGTGGTCCTCACCCCGTCTTCCTGAGTGTGGTTTCTTCGGCGAAGGACGCACGCGCGGTCCCGTTTCAGTTCTTCCCTGTCTAGTCCTTGGTGCCCTTCCCCTAAGCTTGTTGGACGGCATTTCCCAAAAGTCACTTTCCCATCAAAGACCAGCACACGCAGCGGGCATTTCCCAGGCCACCAGATGGCACATCGTCTTCCTCGTGTGACCTCCGCTGCCTCGGGGTCCTCGGCGTCGATCGGGAGGCGACACTCATGTCTCCCCCCACGGCCAAGCCGGAGCGCAGCAGGGGCTCGTGTTGGTGTTGGCGGTGGCGTCACCGTGAAACAGGGGTGGGGCCAGTTGGGTATTTGCACCATCATCCACAGGCCATACAACATGATTAACTCACAAACCCGCCTGCTCTGTGTGGTCAGACATTTGATTAACTCACCCCAATCCCTGGGCCCAGCCAAACCACATGATTTCGGGGGCCCGCGGGCCGGACGTCCCCCTCCCCTGCCACGAAGGACGCAGTTTCGGGGGGAGAAGTGGGTTCATGGCCGCCCGAGTGTGCCTCCCGCCAGCGACATGGTCCAGTCTCGTCTCAGAGTTCGGCACAGACGCCCACGGTTTCCTTCTCAGGGTGTAGCTCACTGGGGATGGGACTATGACGTGTATAAACTGGGACATAAAGTGTTTCCTGTGAATCGGGTTCATTGGCCACGGGCTTCTCCATTCTGTATGTAAGTGCGCCGGCCTCCTCACGTTCCCCACCATTGCTGCTCTGTCATTTGAAACACCTTAGTAGAGGTGGGGGAGATGGGGCTCCACGGAGCGAGACTCGGGGTGGCCCCAGCCGCACCCCCGAGGTCTGGTGACCCTGTCTGGTTGGGGCTGTGCCAGGGGTGCCCTGGGACACCGCCACGCTGGGGAAGTGCTTGAGGGGAGTGAAAGACGTGTGATTTGAAGTCACACTGCGTTTTGTGACGTTCTGCTAGGACCCTGTTGGGAGGAGCTGGGTCAGCCGGGCTGTGGGTGCTGATGGCTCGGGGTGATGGCGAGTGAGAGCGGGGCTGTCATGGCAGATGGGGACATGGCCAGTGACTCGTCCTGTCTCTGGGTGGGGCTGACCCTGGCTGTGTGCCCTCGAGGCACAGCCCCCTGGCCGGCAGTTAAACCGGGAGTACAGGAAGGGAGGCGGGGAGAAGCCCGTCAGAGTTTGGACGGGCCCTGGACTTGGGGAGGTTGTGGGACCTGCTCCCCGCGCGGCTGTGGGTGTAAGGAAGGGAGAATGGAGCGCGGTGTCTTCCCAACCTGTGGCCCAGGCGTGTATGGACGTGGCTCAGCTCTCAATTAGAGGTAACAGTGGCCGTGAGAGTCGCCCCTCACTACGCACTTCTCCTGTGCAGGGCGCCGGGCGATCCACTGTCAGTCTCGCCTTCTCCGTGCGGTGATGGCGTCCAGGCCCTCAGCCTTAGGAGCCGGCTTAGTGTTCCCGTTAGTTCTGGGCAGTGGCCATGGGGGGTCAGGGGCCCTTGTCCTGGAGGCAGGTGGCCTGATCAGCGGTTGGGTGGGTGGCCAGGCCCCTGCCCCATGTCCTTTCGCTGGAGTCGCGCTTGCCCTCGGAGCTGGGCAGGGAGCGAGCGGATGCCGTGAGCAGCACGCAGGGTATCCTGGGAGCTTGGCTGCTGCTTCCCAGTGGTCAGACTTCCCTCTGTGAATGGGCCCGTTAAGGATGTAATGTAGTGAGAGGGACGCGGAAAGGTTTCTCTGGGGCCTGGGTGCCCTCGAGAAGACTGGGAGTTGCCGATTCTCTGAAAGGAACACGCGCCCCTTCCCAGGACAGTGGGCAGATGTAGGAGCCACTCAGGACAGGGAACTCCCCCGACGGTGCCCTCGCCCTCCTGACCACAGGCCGCCCGGCTCCCTCCATGCCTGTGAGGACAGGGACTTTGTTTCCACCCTGAGCACCGGCTGCGGGGGATGCGATGGGGTGGGGAGGGGTTCATCTTGACCACAGCGTCCCTGGTGGGGCTTGCTGTGAGCCTGGCTGGGTCCTAGGGACCCACCTGTTTCTTCTCCTTTTTTAAAAAATCTTTATTGTTGAAAGTATTACATATGTTCCCCTTTTCCCCACATTGACCCCCTCCAGCCCGCCCCGCCCCTACCCCAGGCCTTCAGCACCCTATTGTCTGCGTCCATGGGCCATGCTTAGGTGCACACAAGGTCTCGGGTTGGTGACCACCCACCCACCCTCCCCACCTTCCCTCTGAGATTCCTCAGTCTGTTCCATGCTCCATGTCTCTGGGTCCACTCTGTTCATCAGTTTATTTTGTTCATTAGATTCTACATATGAGTGAGATCATGTGACACTTGTCTTTCTCTGACTGGCTTTTGTCACTTAGCATGATACTCTCCAGGTCCCTCCATGCTTTCTCAAAGGGTGAGAGATCCTTCTTTTCCACTGCTGCGTAGTATCCCATGGTGTAGATGTACCACGGCTTTTATCCACTCATCTGCTGATGGGCACGTGGGCCGTGTCCAGATCTGAGCTATGATAATTGTGCTGCTATGGACATGGGGGCACCCATTCTTTCTGATGGGTGTTTCGAGGACCCGCCTGCTTCGCTATTTGGAAAGAGTGTCATTTAAATGCTCGTTCAGTGCACGCACCCCTCCTATCAAGACTCCTCACCACATCTTTTCACAAAGACGCTGTCTCCGTGCGTGAACATGAGCTTTGCAGTATTTATGCTAATGGAGCTCATGAATAAATGTGCTTTTAAAAAGTGCTGTTCTTAATTTTATTTTCCAAAGAAAGCAGCACCCGATAAAAGCCTCAAATGGGCAGCGTCGGGTTTCCTGTGCGAGAGCCGTCACCGTGTCTCCGAGGGATGTTTGGTAATCAGTCCACTTAGAAGACACTTGGCTTTCGGAAAATCGCCCTCACGCGGTGAGCGTGTACCTGCTGCTGGGGATGGGGAGGCTCTGAGGGCACAAGGGCAGGGACACGGATCCTGGGACCTTCCCGAGGCCAGTGGCCCCGGGCCAGAGGGACTGGCGGCCCCTACAGGGCACGGTGTCCTTTGCTGTGTCCAGTGGCTGAGAGCAGGGGACCTCGGGGGCACCAGCCGTGGGGGCTGATTCACAGGTATTAGAGACAGTGACTGGCTGCTGTGCATGTCCCGGCTGTTGGGGTGGTTCTCTGGGACTCAGCCTGTTCGCACAGAGGTTACACTCACCCCTGCTTTTCCCCAGTGAGAGCCCCGTCTCAGCCACAGGGCTCCCCCCCCCTCATGCCTGCAGAGACCAGGAAAGGGGGCGTCTGCCCTCCTGGGTGTCCAGGTGGGACTCACCCTTGGCAAAGGGCTCAGCACTGGGCTAGTCTCCATGGAAAGGCGGGCTGCTCAGCCCCCCTAAGGTGTCAGAATTCCATTGGGGAGGGAGAGGGGGAAGGAGGTAGCTGGTCCCCTGGCCCTGGGGCCTGAGAGATGATGAGCTGGAGAGATGCTGTCTGCTGGTCGTGGCATAGGGCCATGGCAGGACACCGAGTCCCATTGTCTGTGAGCTCCTTCCAGAACCAAGTACATTGGGGCCTTGACTTACGAGTGTCCCGACTAACGAGTTTTTCAAGATACGAGCCGTCTCTCGGCCGATTTTTTGCTTTGAGTTGCGAGCTAAAATTTGGGTTACGAGCCAGCTTCAGATACCCCCACCGCTAGTTGGCACAGCAAACGTCACAGTGAACGCCACATCAGCCCAGCATCACGTGTCTCACTCGTTCACTTTTTGATTTGACATACTAGTAATTTGAGTTACGAGCTCCGTCACGCCGTCACGGAAACTCGTACGGTATCTGCCAGACATCCTGCTGGGGGGTCGCACCTCCTAATGGTCTCTCTCTCTCTCTCTCTCTCTCTCTCTCTCTCTCTCGGAGCCCCATGAAGTTCTTTCCTTTGTCATTATTTTCTTAGATTGACTTCTATTTTCCCAAGTTACCGCGACCACGAAATAAGTTAAATAGCCACACAGAACATTACCTTTTTTTTTTTATTTAAAAACTAATAAAGAACTTAGTGACAAGTATAATAATTTAGTCTCTATACGTAATGCCATGGGAACATCTATATAGGAAGGAACACGACTGTTTACCTTGTGTTTTGTATCAAAGTTTTGACTTGAATCTTTCTAAGAGACGCATCATGTTAGTGACACATTGTGATTAAACTATGAAATGCCTTTGGAAATATTTTTTTTTTCCTATTCCAAAGAAGGTGCTATTTTTAAACAGGGGTGAGCATATCCTCAGTCTCCTTCAGACTCCGCGCATTTTATTGTTGTTGTTTTGAACCTAGACTGCTCTCCCCAGGGGCGTCGCCTTGTGTGCGAGGGCGGTGCGGGCGGATTGATCGGGCTCGTTAGAAAGCCGCGCGTCCCCTCGCTTCCGGTCACCCAGAGCTGGGGGAGCTCGG